CGCTCTTGTTCGATGCTTGCATCGGATGCTGCGCTGTCGCGCGTGAGAAAGCCCCGGCTAAGGGCCGAGGATCTCTTTTGGTGTTTCCCATGGCGTTGTCTGCTTCGCCCCCTGCTCGCGACCGCCCGTCCCCTCTCTTGGCCAGCGAGCTCCTCATCCTCATATCTTATGGTGTATCTTCGGGTGTCCTGAACATGCGAGTCGGTTATTGTACCCTGATGTGGGTTCGACGTGAGGTTCGCGTTTCCCCACCAGCCCATCCAGAAACATATCGCCAGGCGAGTTGCCTTGATCAGAGAAGTGTAGAAGCATCCGTCTTGGAAGTGTTTTCTAGGAGGTCTCTTGGAGCCATCTTGGGTTTCTCTCTGGGTCATCGCGGAGCCACCTGCGGCGCTCTTGGGGCCCTCGTGGGGCTCTTCGCGGGGGTCTGGGAGGCCTCTTGTGGCCACCTTGGCCCCAGAGGGTCAACAAGAGAGGGGTAACAGGTTCCCCCTCCCCCAAGGCTCAAACATGTCGTCTTGAGGCCCTCTTGAGCCGTTCTTGGAGCGATCTTGGGCGCTCTTGGGCCATCTTGGAGCCTTTTTGGATCCCTTTCGGGGCCTCCTTTGGCCATGTCGGGGCCATTTGGGGCCTCCGAGGCCCATCGAAAGCGATAAGGCTTGAAGGCAAACGTCGTCAATTGTCCTTATGTTTTGGAGCCTGTTGGGCCTCGTGGGGGGGTCTTCGGAGGGCTCGGGGGCACTTGAAACCATCTCGGGACCGCGTTGTTGAGACCTTTTGAATGTGCGTCGGCGGCTAGTCTGAGCCATCCTGAGTTATCTTGAGCCATCTTGGTGTCTCTGAAGCCCTCCTTGGGCCATCTTGAGCGATCTTGGGAGCTCTTAACGCCTCGCGCCCCCCCATCCAGCCCCAGGGAAAGGGGGTAGGGGAGGAGGGGTGGGCTCCTCCCCCGAGCAGGGGAAGGAGGGGTATTGGCAGAGAGAAGTCCAAACTCGTTAAACCGCCTGCGCCCAGAGGGCTGGTGGGATTCGACGTGGATTCGACACGGATTCGACGCGTTCGGCACGGACTCGACATGGACGCGACACGGATGGCTGGTGCGATGGGACAGGCGAGGCCCCCCAAAGATGCAAGTTGACCTTTCCCGGCCGGAGCCGGAGGAGCCCTGTGACCCACACCTTCGGCCCAGACGCTACATCGGCAGGAACCCCGTGGCCTTCGGCGCGAAGAGCTTCCTGAAGGCCGCAGCGGGGTTGCAGGACCTCGGGCGATCCAAGACACAGGAACAGCCTAGCCAGAATCGTTGGGAGGTTGGCGTTTGCCATCGTCGCGGCGTGTGCAACGCCCAGGGGGGAAGGGGGGCCAGGGTGCAATGCCAGCGGTGCACTGGAACCCATGCCAAGAACCACCCTGCTTGCCTCCAGGGTGCCCTGGGTTTCTCGGGTTTCCATGGTTTTACGATGGAAAGCGTAACGCTCCCACACCAAAAATCCATGGACGTTCTGGAGTATCAGGGTTGGGTTTCTTGGGGAAGGTTTCTTGTGGTCGGTTTCCTGTTGCAGCGGTGGCGCCACTGCTGCCAATTGAGCGGATGCTGTGCGCAGTGGCATCGGCTTTGATCTCTGTGGTCTGCTCGCTTCTCGTTCCCCGTCTCCCCCTCCTCGTCGATGACAGCCAGCGCACGTTGCGGCGACGCGGTCCGTCGGGAAGTTCGTTTTCGGGTGGGTAGCGTGAGAACCATAAAGTGGGGGCGTTTGGTCAGGCATGTGCCCATGAGGCTTCAGACCCTGGATGGTTCCTTTATCTGATGAGGGCGACGGTGACGTCCAAGGCCATGCCTCAGTTGGCGTTCCACCGGCTTCCAGACCCTGGCTTCCATATACACGGGTTCCTTATCCAACGCCCTCACCGCAGCGTGATGACCATTATCGTTTGAATATCCGCACGGATTTCTTAGGCCGGCGCCGCTGGACACCCCTCCCCACACGCTTGGGGTGGCGTCAGAAGCGCCTCCACGGAGACGGAAGGGGGGGCTTAGCGCCGACCCAAGAAAGCAGCGCGCGCCTGCGAGGGGCTTTGTGGCCATGCCGAAATGCTGCTGTCACTCCAGCGAACGGTGAGGGTGAGAGGAGGAGGAGGAGGACGAGGAGGAGGAGGAGGAGGAAGACGAGGAGGAGGAGGAGGAAGAGGAGGAGGAGGAGGAGGAGGAGGAGGAGGAGGAAGAGGACGAGGAGGAGGAGGAGGAGAAGGAGGAGGAGGACGACGAGGAGGAGGAGGCGGAGGAGGTTCTGGAGTTTGTCGTCGGAGTGCCGGGCCCTGCTCGGAAGGCCGCCGCTGCCGCTGCGGCAAACAGTCGGCTGAGCGCTGACGCTCGAGAGAGAGAGAGAGAAAGAAGGAAGAAAGAAAGAAAGAGTGGAAGAGAGACGCAGAGAGGCAGAGAGAGGGGAGAGAGAGGAGAGAGAGGAGAGATAGGGAAAAGAGAGAGAGAGAGAGACAGAGTGGGAGAGAGAGGCAGAGAGGCAGGGAGAGGGGAGAGAGAGAGGGGAGGGAGAGGAGAGAGAGGAGAAAGAGGCAGAGAGAGGGGAGAGAGAGCGAGAGACAGATATAGATCACATTTTGGATCCCTGGTCGGGGGCTCACAGGCCTCCCCCCCCAAGATGCGATGGGCCCCAGGGTTCCACAGGCCGCCCCCTCCCCACAGATGGGACGACGACGACGCCGCCGACGATGCCGCCGACGCCGCCGACGACGCCGACGACGACGACGACGCCGACGACGCCGACGAACGACTTCCCACCCACAGGGGGAGGGAGGGGGCACGGGCACCCACCACGCCACGCCACGCCCACGGGGCCACGCCCACAGGGCCACGCCCGCAGGGCCACGACCACAGGGCCACGCCACGCCCACAGGGCCATGCCCACAGGGCCACGCCCACAGGGTGCGTGGGGGGATCCCGTTCGCGAGGCCTTCGCGAAGCTCACGGACGTACCCATCCACAGGGGGGGGGGGGGGGGCACCACCCACCACCACGCCACGCCCACAGGGCCACGACCACAGGGCCACAACCACAGGGTGGGTGGGGCGATCCCACTCGCGAGATCTTCGCGAGGCTCACGGGCGTACCCATCCAGCGGGCGGGGGTGCGGTTGTTCCTCTTAGCATTGGGGGGGAGGCGGGGCCCTGGGTCATACATGCACACGGGTCGCCCCCCAGGGCCTCCAAGCAGGCCCAAAAGAGCCCTGCGGGACCAGCTTGGGGCATGCTGGAAATGTGAATCTTCCAAACCACGCTCCCGAGGCCTTGGAAATCACACGGGGATCCCCAAGAGCGCCCGAGAGCGCCCCAGAGCGCCTGGAACAGGTGGCTCAGGCCCTTCACAGAGGTGTCCAAAACAATTCAATGCAGAGAGCGTGAGGGGACCTCAGGGCATCCCACAGAGTGCCTCGCAGCACGGTGACGTGCTGCGTGTGGGCGTGTGTGTGTGTGTGTGTGTTGTGTTGTGTTGTGTTGTGTTGTGTTGTGTTGTGTTGTGCTGTGCTGTGCTGTGCTGTGCTGTGTTGTGTTGTGTTGTGTTGTGTTGTGTTGTGTTGTGTTGTGCTGTTTGCATGTTTGTATTATTGTGTTGTTTGTTTGGTTGCTTCCTTGCCTGCTTGTTTGTTTGTGTGTTCGTTTGTTTGTGTTTGGGCCTGTGTTGTCGTTTGCGTATGTGTGTGTGTGTCTCTGTGTGTCTCTGTGTGTCTTTGTGTGTCTCTGTGTGTCTCTGTGTGTCTCTGTGTGTCTCTGTGTGTATGTGTGTGTCTGTGTGTGTCTGTGTGTGTCGGCGTGTCTGTGTTATATGTATACGGGGGACGCGCAAAATGCGACGGAGCCCTCCCTTTCCGCCATCCCTGCCTCCAATCCTCCGCTCTTATTGAATCGTTTTGCTCATTCCGCCGGCACATTTCGCATGACTGAGCCTCTTGGGGCCGCTGGGGGGCCTCTTCAGCGTCGCTTGGGGGCCTCCTGAGGGCCTCTTGGGGGCTTTTGGGGCCTCTCAGGGGCCTCTTGAGGCCTCCTGGGGGCTTCTTAAGGCCGAGGGCTCGAAGTTTTGTTTTGTGTTCCCCCTTTGGGGCATCGCTTGGGGCCCTCTTGGGCCCCTCTTGGGCCGTCTTGGATGCCTCTGGGGCCGTCTTGGAGCCCTCTTGGGCCATCTTGGGGCCTTCTTGGGAGCTCCTTGGGCCCTCTTGGGGCGATCTTGGGGGCCTCTTGGGCCGTCTTGGGGCGTCGGGAAACCGAAAAGATGGACACGCCAAAATCTGCCCAAAACCTAAGGACAAGTAATGAATTTTGCCTCTTGGGGCCCTCTGGGGAGTGCTCTTGGAGGCCTCTTGGGGCGTCTGGGGGCCATCTTGGGCGTCTTGGAACGATCGTGTGGCATCTCGGAGCACTCTTGAACCATCTTGGAGGGCTCTTGGCGGCCTCGTGGCCCTTCTTGGGGCTCTCTGGAGGGCCACGGGGGCGGCGCCCAGGAGGAAAACCATCTCTGATCCGACCCTGCCGGGGATCGCCCGGGGTACTTTTCGTCCGGGGACCCCCAGGGGCCGCCCCGCGCGCGCGAAGTAGAAGTATTATTTAGCAGTTACCGGAGATCTTAGCACGCCTCTGACCCGTTGGGCCGGCGAATTTCTTCCCCACATCCTCTGGCACATAGATGAACGCCCATTCAGTCAGCAGTATCGGCGTGCCCTCTTGGACGCGCTCGAGGGATGATGGATCCTTCGAGCATGATCGGAGTTGGTGGAGAGGGAGGGTGATTGGGGGAGGAAGATGTTCGAGGGAGAGGAGGATCGAAGGGGAGGGGAACGGGTAGGGGGAGGAGAGCTGGTGCCACGAGTTTCACCTCCTCGTCCCCCATCTCCCCCTCATCCTTCTCATCTTCGCCCCCCTCCACTTCTTCCTCGCCCTCGCCCTCCTCGTCCAACTCCTCGCTCTCCTCGTCCCCCGCTTCTTCCTGCGACAGCTGCCACTTCTGCTCCCGCGCGGCCTGCTTCTGCCCCCCATGGGGAGGGCGGCCGCCGATGTGCAGCGGCGCGGCGCCCGCGGTCCTGGAGGACGCCGCTGCGCTCGCCAGGTACAGGCACCAGTGGGGCGGCCGGGACGAGGAGGCGGTGCTGAGCCTGCCGCCAGCGGAGAGGTATGCGTCGCTGGCGGTGCTGAGGCCACGGGCCACGCAAGCTATGGCCGGGAGTCGCCAGAGGTGCCCCCCGGCCCACGGTGCCCCCCCGGCTTGCCGAGGAGGCCCTCGCGGCCTCCAGAGCACCCCATCTCGCGAGAGGCCCAGGGGGCCCCGGGGGCTCCGAGATCGAGGGAACAGCTGGGGGCCCCGCGGGCCAGGGGCACCTGCGGCAGCCCCCGAGCCAGGGGAGGGTGGGCTCAGGGTCAGGCGATCGCAGACATGGATCGAGGGGGCGCAGATTTGCGACGGGTCCCGTTTCCATGGGAAATCGCGGATTTCCGCTGCCGCACGCGGCGGCACCAGCCGCATTTTGGGGAGGGCACCTCCTCCGATCCATGGATGTGGTGACCGCGCGCCAAATCCATGGATCGCTAGTCCATGTTTGCGCGCCGCCGACAGGGGGGGATGTATCGACCCCCGATCGCCCAGTCATTACCGACAGGGGCCCCATGGCCCACGCCTCCCAGGGACGCGCGGTGTCGCCGTCGGGAGCTTCTCGCGGATCTGTCGTCGCTGCACAAGCGATTCCAGCTGGATCTTTCTTTCTTCTCTTCCTCCTCCTCCTCCTTCTCCTCCTCTTCCTCCTTCTCCTCCTCCTCCTCCTCTTCCTCCTCCTCCTCCTTCTCCTCCTCCTCCTCCTCCTCTTCCCCCTCCTCTTCCGTAGCCATTTTGGCTCAAGCGAGGTGCTCCCGGGCGGGGGAGCGGGCCGTGCGGGCCGCGCGGGGCCGCGCGGGGCCGCGCGGCGCGCCATGGCGCGCGCAGGGGCGATGGCGAGGAGGCCAACGCAGCACCCCTCGCTGGCGCTGATGATGGTGTTGCTGCCGGCGGCTCTGGCAGAGCACCCGTGTCAGGCCGAGGTGGAGTCCGCGTGCCCAGACAAGCCCGGCCCGAGCGTGGCGGCGTGCCTCAAGGACCCGGCAGAGCACCAGCAGCAGACCACTATCTCCTCCGAGTGCACGGATTTTATTGCGCTCAACGTGGCGTGCGCTGGCACGCTCTCGAAGCACTGCGAGGAGGCATTCTTCTCTGGCGACACGGTGCTTTGCCTCACCAAATGGGTCGACCCGTCGAACCTGGACGAGAAGTGCGGCAAGGTGATGAAGTGGGCCATCCCGAAGTCCGACGAGGGTGCGGTTGATGAGCTGGGCATGTCCGAGAAGGATTACGAGGAGAAGAAGGCCTGGCAGGCGAAACGGAAGCAGGCGCGGTCGGCCGCCGTCGAGAGGGTGAAAGACTCGGACGCGTACAAGGAGAGGGAGCGCCTGGAACTCGAGCGGCTCAAGAAGGAGGACCCTGAAGGCTACGAGCTGCGGATAAAAGAGAAAGAGGATATCAGGCGGCATAACGAGGAGCAGAGAAAACAAGAGAGGCTGCACAACGCGGCTCTGGAGAGGAAGCTGAAGGAGGAGGCCCGGGAGCGGGGCGAGACGGTCGAGGACGACGATGCGCCGAAGGCCAAGCGACGGACCAGCCGCCGCAAGAAGCCCGAGGAGACCGATTGGCTGCCGTACGTCCTCGGCGGGCTGTTCGTTGCCTTTATCTTTTTCAACGTTCTCAATTTCTTCACGAAGGACAAGGACGCGGACAAGGACGATTGACAATTGGGGCGGCATCCTCGCTAGTCGTGGGCCCGCGACAGCCGGTTTTTGCGCAGGGAGAGCGGGTCCGATCGGGTGGGAACATGGAGGAGCAGGCGGTGGGCCACGCCCGAGCCCGTCAGCCCTGCCCCGCGCTCGGCGCGCGCGCGCGGGCAGGGGCCGCGCGCCACGGAGGGCCCCTCCTCTTCCCCCTCCTCCTCCTCCTCCGCCTCCTTCTCCTCCTCCTCCTCCTCCTCCTCCTCCTCCTCCTCCTCCTCCAGGAGGCCCCGAAGACATCCCAAGATGGCCACAAGAGGACCCCAGGGCGCCAGAAAGCCTCGAACGCCCGAGACCCCGAACCTCGAGACAGCCGCCCCCCCGTGAGGCTGGACGGCACCTCGCCGCTGGCTGCCTGCCGGTTCGGTTTCGCAGCTCGGCCTGGGTCAGGGACACCCGTGCGCAGGTCCTTGCTGCTGCAAGAGAGCTATCAGCCCGCGGGGCACAAGCTGTCGTTCCCCCTCGCGCGGGCGGAGCCCCCCCCCAAAAAAAAGAGAGAGAGAGAGAGCCAACTCGCGAGGGCGGAGCAGCTGACCATCGACCTGAGGCGCAACGGGAAGTGCGGCCGGTGCATGCTGCAGGCCCCGCACTGCATCTGCGGGCGCCTGGGCGAGCTGCGCGCGGCCGCGGCCGCGGGGCTCGCGGGCCGCCTGGTGCACTTCGTGGTGTGGATGTGCGTCCAGGACGGGAAGGGGGTCTGAGAGGGTCTAGGCCTCCGAGGTTGGGTCGGGGTAGGTGGGGTCGACGGATCGCGCCGCGTCGCCGATGCATCGGGGATGCAACCCCGACTTCCTCCGACTTTCTCCGCGCCGGCGTGGCCGACGCATCGCCAACGTCGCCGATGCATAGGTGATGCATCGACGATGCATCGGCGATGCATCGATGATGCAACGTGATCCCCCGACCCCATCTACTCCGACCCCATGTGGGAGGCCTCTAGAAGGCCCTTTCGGCCCCTTCGGCTCAGGGGAGGAAGAGGTCTCGGTGCCGCTGCCGCTGCCCTGTTATCGCCTAGACCTCCAACGGGTTGCGAGCATCAAGACGGAGGTATTTTGTCCTTTTCGACGTCTGAGGGCCCTCGCCGGGCCCCCGGACCGCCAGAAAACGATCCGGGATGAAGAACCAGTCCCCAGGAAGTAATCCAGAGCTCCAGGAGAGGGGAGGCATCGATCAAGTCAAGACACTGGAATTATGCCCCAATCTTGCCACGACTCCATTCGTGGGACTGCGACATCGCAGGTCAACGGGTGCGTGTCGCCCTGACAGTCCTAAATCGTGCCAGGGCAACATGCCTGGGACTTCAACCTTACGAATCTTTGAAACTGCTGCACACTGTTAAGACGAGTGTGCGCGGCGCTCAGGCGAGAGCCTCGAGGGCTACATGTTGAAAACCACCCGCCGTCCATCTTCGACATTGCCGCAAACATGTGAGACGGATGTGCAAGGCGCTCAGGCGAGAGCCACATTCTGAACACGATCCGCCTTCTATCCTTGAAGTTGCTGCATCCGTTTACGACGAATGTGCGCGGCGCTCAGGCGGGAGCTACATTTCGAGAGCCACCCGCCCTCGATCTCTGAAATTGCCGCAAAACCGTAGCCATTTTTGGCTCAAGCGTTTTGCAGCTCTCGGTCTTGTTCGGTCCAGGCGCGGCCGGCGCTGGCAGCCATGCAGATCGTTGCGCCGGGCAACTTCCTCGATGGTGTGGTATTCGCAGTGTTCGTGATGTTTGCCTCTGGGGCTGCCCTGATGGTCTTCGGAGAATTCCACACGATGTGTGTCATCACAAAGGCCAGCAGTTTGGGAGCATTCTCGACGATCCTTGACAAGATCTTCCCATTTCCCAAGAAGCAGTTCTCGTTCAATCTCACTCACATACTGTTATTCGCCATCTTGATCTCGCTTCTGAGCATGAGGCACCACCCTGCTCAGGACCTGGTGCAAAAGAAGACAGAGAAGGAGATGGACAAGAAGAAGGCCAGCAAGGAGGAGTGAGAAGGCGACATGCTGCTCGGCTGCATCAGCGTGGAGGCCAGGGCGGAAGCATTAAGGCTACGTCGAGGCGCTCTTGGAGCGGTGATGGGACTCACACTTCCGCGGCTGTCGTACCCGCCATTCTGGGGCAAGGACCCGAGCACTCCTCACCCTCGTCGCCGCAACGGGTACTCGCATCTTCTTGAAAAGAAGCATCTTCGAAATTGCTGCAAGCATTTAAGACAGATGACGCTCAGGCGAAAGCCACATTTTGAGAACCGCCCGCCCTCCATCTTTGAAACTGCTGCAAACTTCTAAGACGAATGTGCGCGGCGCTCAGGCGAGAGCTACATTTTGAGAGCCACCCGCCCTCAATCTTTGAAATTGCCGCAAGCATTTGAGACGGATGTGCACGGCGCTCAGGCGAGAGTCACATTTTGAACACGACCCGCCATCCATCCTTGAAATCGTTGTATTCTTCGGGCGTTAGGATCGCACATGGTGAGGAGGTCTGAGGCGAAACTCCCAGCCCGCCGTACCAACACGTCTGGGGATGCGACAGGGAAAGGGGAAGGAGGAGGAGGAGGAGGAGGAGGAGGAGGAGGAGGGGGAGGAGGAGGAGGAGGAGGAGGAGGAGGAGGAGGAGGAGTTGGAGAGATCGCCACCACGCCGTTGTCTGCCACTTTCCCTCTTTCGGCCCGAAGCCCCTCTCGTCGTCCATTCGCTGTTACCCGCTATTCCCCCTCGCGTCGCAGCTTTGTTTTCCTTAAAAAGAGATAGCTTGTCCACCTTCCAGGCGGCGAAGGTCGCTTGCACTGATTGAGGAGTGAGTGAGGACGAGGGCGAGGACGAGGGCGAGGACGAGGACGAGGGTGAGGACGAGCACGAGTAGGAGCAGGAGGAGGAATGAGTGAGTCGGAGGAGGAGGAGCAAGACGTGGAGGACGAGGATGAGGAGAAACAGCAGTGAGGAGGAGAAGGAGCAGAAGGACAAAGGAGGAGGAGAAGGAGGAGGAGGAGGTGGAGGAGGAGGAGGAGGAGTGAGGGTGCTGCGGGCGGGTCGTCCCCACAGCCAGCCTGAGGGGGGGTGCCGGCAGAGGCGCGGGTGTGCGTCCGGGACGGGCGGTTGGAAAGGTGGGGAAGGACTGGGATGGGCGGGATGAGGGAGAGGAGGAGGAGAAGGAGGAGGAGGAGGAGGACGAGTGGGATGATCGGGAGGAGGAAGAGAGGAGGAGGAAAAAGAGGCGTTCGTTTTTATAGCTTGCCCAAGAAAAGGAGGAGGTGGAGGAGGAGGAGGAGGAGATGGAGAGGAGGAGGAGGAGGAGGAGGAGGAGGAGGAGGAGGCCGAGGAAAGCCATCCTTGAAGAGTCCACGCAGGGGGGTCCCGGAGGCGGCCCCAGCAGCCCGCGCTGCCCGGGCACGTCCGCCACCGTGCTCTGTGCGGCGCGGGGCTCCCCGGAGGCCCGGCCCGCTGCCCGCGGGCGGGCTCTCCGCACCCCGAGCCGTCTCTTTGGGCGGCCCCCCGTCGTGGCACGGCGAGGCCCCCACGAGGCCTACTCCTCCTCCTCCTCCTCCTCCTCCTCCTCTCCTCCTCCTCCTCCCTCCTCCTCCTCCTCCTCCTCCCCTCGTCGTCGTCGTCCTCCTCTCCTCCTCCTCCTCTCCTCCTCCTCCTCGTCCTCCTCCTCCTCTCCTCCTCCTCCTCCTCCTCCTCCTCCTCCCCCTCGTCGTCCTCCTCCTCCTCCTTCACAGGACGGGGGCTCCCGCGGAGCCGCCGCCCCCCCCCGAGGCACATGTTCTCCGTCGTGGCTCGGACTACGACGCGCAAGCAAGAGAACGACGCCGCGAGTCATGCCCTAGACTGGGGGGCCACATGCGAACCCTGCCCCTACCCCCCACGATTCCTGAGGGGTGGGGTGGGGTTCACTTCGCTCGGGAGCTCCCGAACGAAGTGACCCCCACCCCCCCCTCAGAAATTGTAGGGGGAAGGGGCAGGGTTCGCATGTGACCCCCCACAGACCCAATCGCGAAACAGCAACAACGTCGCGAACAATGCCCCAAGTCGACCCAGTCTTTGCGCCAGGTGTTGCGCGCCGCACCGGTCCGTGGTGGTCCCAGGGCCGGCACCAGGCGGCAGCGCCCGGCGCGAGCAAGCAGCTGCAACGCCCAAGGGGATGTCTGGGGCGCTGCAGAGCAGGAACACGTTCTCCATTCAGATTCTGGCAAGTTTACTTGCATGGGATTACCCCGCCCCCCCCCTCGCCGAACATCATTCCTTCGGTGGTGGGCCCGACAAGCGTTCGAGTAACTCTCGGCTGGCGTGACTCCAGCTTCCCCTTAGAGGACCCCCCCACCCTCCTCCACGCAGGCAAACTTCCCAGGATCTGACTCAGACCCCCGACGGCCCCGACGTCATGATTTTTGCATTACGTCGACCCCCAGAGTTTTCGACCATTCCCTGGGACAAGCTTGTCATCCTGCGTCGTTTTTTGACGGTCCCGAGGACTGGTAAGGGCCCCCGGAGGCCGACAATGGCGAAAAACCTCCCGTCGTGACTTTTTCCTTCCTCGAGGGGGTGTCTGGGGATCAGAAACGCGATTCTCGTCGCCCGCGAGGAGCGCCGGCGCGCGTCCAACACTGGGAAGCTGCTGGAGCACGTGCTACCGGGCAGCGAGGTGTTGGTGCAGGGGCTGCCCGCGGACGCGCGCCGCCTGGAGAGCCTGCTGGCCGCGGCGGGTGGCCACGGGGCAGCCCGAAGGGAGGTTCGGTTCGAGGTCTCGAGGTCTCGAGGTCTCGAGGCTCGAGGTTTGAGGTCTCGAGGTCTCGAGGTCTCGAGGTCTCGAGGTCTCGAGGCTCGAGGTTTGAGGTCTCGGGGCTCGAGGTTTGAGGTCTCGAGGTCTCGAGGTCTCGAGGTCTCGAGGTCTCGAGGTCTCGAGGTCTCGAGGTCTCGAGGTCTCGAGGTCTCGAGGCTCGAGGTCCGAGGGCGGGGGGGGGGATGGTTCAGGGGGATTTCGAGGCGCGAGGTGTTCGGGCTGCGGCTTGCCAGCCTCGGGGTGCCTTCCAGCAGCCGCGCCTCGCCGACAGCGCTCCGGGGGTGCAGGGGCTGCCCGCGGACACGCGCAGACTAGTTTTAAGTCGGGCGTGCCCCTCTACAGGAGGAGTATCCCAAAATAGTCAGAAAACGGTATGGGGACGGTGTGTGGAGTGTTTCTTTTGGGCAATTCTTGAATACGTTTGGGTTTTTTTTTTTTTTTTTTTTTTTCCATTTTTTCTTCACAAATCCCCCTGTAGGGGATTGGGATTTTGGGATTTTTCGTTTGGGATTTTCGTTTTCATTTTCATTTTTCATTTTCGTTTTCATTTTCATTTTTTCATTTTGGGGATCCCCCCCTTTTTTTTCATTTTTTTTTCGTTTAGGATTTTTCATTTTTTTCTTCACAGATCCCCCTGTAGGGGGGCACGCCCGACTGAAGGCCAGTTGTTCACACCGGGCGTTGTCGCCCGGTGTCGGGCCCCCGGACCATCACAGGCCGACGCGGCCCGCACAATGCTAGGGAAAGATGTGGTCTAGGGCCACGTTCGTGATTTTTCGCGAGGCCCGAAGATGTTCTATAGATTTATATATATATATATTTATTTACTTATTTATATATATATATATATATGTGTATATATATATATGTGTATATGTGAATATATATATTGTATTTATATATATATATGTGTATATATATATATTTATATATATATATATATATGTTGGCCCTCGAGGGAACATCGCTGGGCATTGGGACAGTCAGAGCGCGACTCAGGATGTCCCCGGAAGGAGGTCCATCCCATTGGGCAGCCACGCTGCGAACAAAACACACTGTCGGATGTCTTGGGGGGAGTAGGGTGGAGAGGGAGCATGGGGGAGGAGGAGGAGGACGAGAAGGAGGAGGAGGAGGAATGATGAGGAGTAGAAGCAGGAGAAGAGGAGGGAGGAGAAGGAGTGAGGAGGAGCAGGAGGAGGAGGAGGGTAAATCAAGAGTCATCAACGATGTCGGACTTAACCCTCCCTCTAAGCTCCTCTTCGTAAGCCCCTACAACGGTTCATTTCCATTGAGGGAACTGCCTCGTTGGAAGACAACCGTTTGAAGACCTTGAAGTATGTCAAAGCATGGTTCTCGGGAAATCCACGCCACGGATCAGCCTGACTGCCGCGTCCTGACGATCTGGAACCGTGCCAGAACGCGATTTTAGAGACTTCAACACCGCGAAACAGTATAACTGTTGCACCCGCATAATCCTGAATCCTTCCCATACACTATACCTGGTACGTTGATCATGGGAACACGTTAAACCCTGGCAATGCTTAAAACGAATGTGCGCGGCGCTAAGGCGAGAGCCACATTTTGAAAAGGAACCGCCCTCAATCCGTGAAACTCTTGCAAATGTTTAAAACGAATGCGATTGGCGCTAAGGCGAGAGCCACATTTTGAAAGCGATCCGCCCTCAATCCGTGAAGCTGTTGCAAATTTGCATCACGGATGTGCGCGGCGCTGAGGCGAGAGCCACATTATGACATCACCACGCCTTCCATTTGCTAAACGGTTGCCATTGTTTAAGCTTCAGAGTCAGAAGATGGTGAGGAAATCTCAGGCGAAACGACGAAACGCCCGGCCCGCCCTAAAAACAAGCCTCGGGGCGCGACAGGGAGATGTTATTTATAAGGAAAAGGAATGGAGGAGGAGGAGGAGGAGGAGGAGGAGGAGGAGGAGGAGGAGGAGGAGGAGGGGAGGAGAGGAGGAGGAGGAGGAGGGGGGGGAGGAGGAGGAGGAGATGGGAGTGAGGAGTGAGGAGGCGGAGGAGGAGGAGGAAGAGTGAGGAGGAGGAGAAGGAGGAGAAGGTGGAGGGAGTCAGAGTGAGGAGGAGGAGGAGGAGGTTTAGTGTAAACTCAATGCGCCTCAACGATGTTCCCATAAACCCTCCCCCCAAGTTCCCTTCCATATGTCCCTGAAGGATTGTCGCTCAGTGCGGGAAGTGCCCGATGGGAAGACAACTGTATGAGAACTCTCACTCGCATCGAAACACAATCCCTGGAAATTCAGCGCTGCGAATCAACGTGACTGTTGCGTCCTGCCGATCCTAGAGAGTGCCGGAACACCATTCCTGGGACTTCAACACATCGAATGCACGTGTCTGTTGCAACCAGCCGATCCTAAATCGTGCCAGAAAACAAGTCCTGGGATTTCAACCACACGAATCCTCGAAACCGCTGCGAACTTTAAGACGAATGTGCGCGGCGAGATGGGGCAAGAGCCACAGTTTGGAAAGGAACCGCCCTCCACCTTTGAACAAGTTAGACACGTTTTATAAGAATGTGCGCGGCGCTATGGCAAGAGCCACGCCTTGAAAATTGGTCGCCCGCCATCCTTGAAGCTGCTGCCATAGCTTGAGACGACGGTGCCCCGTGCTACCTACGGCGAGGGCCACACTGCGAAAGCGGGCCGCCCTCCATCCTTGCAGCAGCTGCAATATTTTGAGACGAATGTGTGCGGCGCCCGGGCGGGAGCCGCCATTGGAAAACAGGCTGTCCTCCATCCTTGAAGCAGCCGCAAACTTTCCAGACGAAAGTGCGCGGCGCTAAGGCGAGAATCACGAATCTAAAACCACCCGCGCTCCATCCTTGAAGCCGTTGCGAAGTCCAAGCGTCAGGAGCATGAATGGTGAGGAAGTCTGGGGCGAAACGCCCGACCCGTCCTACCGTCACGTCTGGGGCTGCGACAGGGAAAGTAACTACCAGGAAAAACGATGGTGGAGGAGGAGGAGCAGGAGCAGGAGGAGGAGTGAGGAGGAGCAGTGCAGAGTGAGGAGTGAAGAGTGAGGGGTCAGGAACGAGAAATGAGGAGGGGAGGAGAAGGAATATGACGAGGACGAGGAGGAGGAGGTGAATGGGGAGGAGGTAGCGGAGCGTATCCCTGTGCTTATGTTTCCCCCCTTCCTTTCCCAGACCCCCGACGTCATGATTTTTTCATGACGTCGACCCCCTGAGATCTCGACCCGTTCCCCGGGACCAGTTCGTCAGCCTGAGTCGTTTTTTGACGGCCCCGAGGCCCGGTAAGGGCGCCCGGAGACCGAAAAAGGCGAAAGACCTCCCGCCGTGATTTTTTCATGACTCGAGGGGGTCTGGGCCCCCCCCCCGAGGTGAGCGAGCATTCGTCCTCTTCCCGTCGCCGGAGGCGTCCCCGGCGTCCGAGCTGCGCCCCGCGGCGGCCGCCCACAGTGCCTGCGGCAGCCCCGGAGGGGCGGAGGCACGGCCCTTCCTGGCGGTGCTCGTCGACGGCACCTGGCGCCAGGCGACGTTTCGAAGAGCTGCTGCGGGCGTGTCGTCGCCATGAGCGTTGGCGTCTACCCTCAAGTCGGGCCTGTCCCTCGACAGGAGCATTCAAAACATAGACCAGAAATAGTCGGGGGACGATTTGTTGAGCATTTTTGTTGGTATGTTTGCGCATTCTTGGCTATCTCTTAATTTTTCCTCCAAGATCCGCCTGTAGGGGGAAGTGCCCGACATAAACCTATCCCAGACATGATCGCGCCGTGTGAGAAAATCAGGACGGCCAGCTTTTCCCTACACGTTGGGCCCCCCTGGGGGCCCTGGCCAGGCCCAGCGACCGTCGAAAAACAACGCAGGATGAAGAACCGGCCCCAGGGAAAGGGGCTGGACTTCAGGGGACGCCGTCCTGAAGAAATCAGGACGTCGCATGTCCGGGACTATATCTTATGGAAGAAATGTCTCGGGGAGGCTTGTCCAAAGGGGGTTGTCCAGGGGTCTTGTCCGGATTCCCGCTGGGTTGTTCAAGGGGTTGTCCGTGGTAGGCCATCCTGTCGTCATTCAACAGCGTGGGTTGCCCGGGTCATTCTGGGGGGAGGCCCGGGGATTCTTTTCAATTGGATTATTGTCCCATCGAACATCGTAGATTCTGGCGATATCTTTAATCGCTTCGCTCAGTCCGCCGGTCCATTTCGCATCGCTGTGGCTGCGCGGTGGTGTGCTCGTGTCCAGGGGGAACGGTGAGGCAGGCAGGACTAGCCTGGAGGAGATCGTTGGAGATGTGGCTCGCACCCTGTCGAAGCGAGCAGGTAGACTGCCCCAGAGGGCGCCAAGATGGCTCAAGAGAGCCCCATCAGATTTTCGAGACGTACTTAGGTCATGGGTCAGAGTCCTCATGGATGCTTCTTGGGGTCTCTTGGTTGGGCTCTCGGGAGCCTTTGGGGAGCAGTTTTGAGGCCTCTGGGAGCTCTTGGGGGCTTCCTGGGGGCCTGTGGGCCTCTTGGGGGTTCCTGTTGGCCTGTTGGGGGTCTTGGGAGCCTCTTTGGGGGCCTCTTGGGGGCCTCTTGGGGCCTTTTGAGGGGCTCTTGGGGGCCTCTGGGGGCTTCCTGGGCGCCTCTTGGGGCCGAGATCTCGGAATGTGTGTTCGGCTTCCCCCACTGGGCCCCAAATTGGGCCCATCCTGGGGCCGTCTTGGACGCCTCTTGGGCCGTCTTAGTACCACCTTGGGCCATTTGGGGCCCTCTTGGAGGCTTTCGGGCCGTCTTGGAGCGATCCTGTGGCCTCTTTGGCCGTGCAGGGCGGTTGGCAGCTCGAAAAGGCAGTACCGAAAAGATCGTCCGAAAACCTTCGCTAACTCAATAATTTGTGCGTCTTCTGGGCCTCCCGGAGTCCTCTTGGAGCGTCTTGGGCGCTTCTGGGACCCACGTGGGCCATCTGTGAACGCTCTTGGCCTTCGGCCGTGGGGCGTGCCACCCTTTTGGCGCCTCATTGGGGCGCTCGGGGGCCCCCGAGGCAACGCCCAGGAGTTCCGGCATCTCTGATCCAAACCTGCCCGAACCTTGCAAGGGTACTGTTCGTCCGGCCCCCCCCGGGGCCCGCCACGCGCGCGAGAATTGGAAACACGTTCAAGCTCGTACCAGAGATTTCAGGGCGCCTTTGGCCCGTTGGGCTGGCGAGGGTACAGGGCAGTTCTCAACCCCCCTTTGCCTCCCCTGGGGTGTGGACAGACCTCCTACCCTGACACGTCGATTAGTGAATTGTCCGTTGTCGGTTCTCGAGAGGGCGCCGCGGCCGTTGTTTTCCGGGCTTGCGCCCGCCAAGTTTGGGCCCGAGGTTGTTTTCACTACACCACGTTTTACCAAAGGGAGGTCTGTCCATGCCCGATCCCCGCCCGCCGCCATTTCAAACAGCGTTGGGCCGAAAAGGCGTGCAAGCGAGTCCCGACGTGCGTGAAGTCCAGATTGCCTTTCGGGCCTCGCCGCGCCCCCTCCTCCATGCAAGTGAACTTGTTGGAGTCGAAAGGCACACTGCTCGACGTCTAAGTCGGGCATGTCCTCCTCCTTCAGGCGGATTTTGGAGGAAAAACTGAAAAGGAGTCACACATGGTCAAACATAGTCCACAACATCGATCCCCGATTATTGTTAAACTGTTTTTGAACTTTCATCTAACTTCTAGGGGTTAACTATTTTTTGAACTATTTCAAATTATGTTTTATCATCGGGGTCGGCAATGAGGGGGGTGATGACTAGGGGGGTGGATATCATGGCGGGGGCCATGATATCTCCCCAGATTTCATGGCGCCTCTTCTTGTTTCATTACTTCCCTGCCCCCCCGCTGGGCCGCGCACATGCCGCTGGTCATGATTTGCACCCCCCCCTCTTGGACACCCCCCTCTTGGTCGCTCCCGATATTAATTATTGCAGAGGGACATGTCCGACGTAAGTCTGCGTTCTGCCTCCAGGGGGCCACTTCCGGGCCCTCGGGCCGTCGAGCGACGGCTCGGGGCGAAGAACCGGCCTCCAGCTAGGGGGCCTCTGGAGGCCCGCGGGGCCTCGGGGCTGCGCAGAGCCTAGCACTCTGCAGAGACCTGGGCCGGGGCACCACCGCACCCCTCGGTCGCTGGGGAGGGGTGACAGGTGGGGGACGAGGAGGAGGAGGAGGAGGAGGAGGCGGAGGAGGAGGAGGAGGAGGAGGAGGAGGCGGAGGAGCAGGAGGAGGAGGAGTAGGAGGAGGGAAGAGGAGGAGGAGGCGGAGGAGGAGGAGGAGGAGGGGTGAGGGATGAGGGCCAGAGGGGAGGGGGCGGGTGGGCCTGCCCAGGAGGCCCAGAAGGCCTTTTGGGCCTTCGGGGAAGCTTCTCCTGAGCCTCCTCCGAGGCCACGGACGGCTTCTCAGAAGAGCCGGCGGGCTTCTGGGAAGCCCCGCCGCCTGCCGAGAAGCTCTGCCCCCCTCCCCCTCGGCGCGTCCGCTCCTCCTCCTCCTCCTTCCTCCCCCCATCTCCTCCTCCCCCATCTCCTCCTCCTCCTCCTCCTCCTCCTCCTCCTCCTCCTCCTCCTCCTCCCCTCCTCCTCCTCCTCCTCCTCCTCCTCCCCATCTCCTCCTCCTTCTCCCCCTTGGCGCGCCGCCGAGCTGGGCCCTGCCCCCCCCCCCCCCCCCCAGTGGAGGCAGGCACAGCACATGGTGCACAGGAGCGCCCTCGCCGCCGTACGGCCCGTCGCGCTGTCGCCGCGCGGTCACTCGCAGTTCCACTGGAGGCGGCAGACGCAGGCCCGGGGCAGCGATGGGGGGGGCTAGGCTCAGGGGGGGGGCATCGGAGGAGGAAAGGGTACCCATACCGCTGGCCTTCGCCCGTTTTCTCTTCTGGGGGCCTCCTGGGAGGCCCTCGTCGCCACCGCTGGATTCTCCATGAAATTCTGACCAGAACGCACCCCAGGAGAGGTCCGGGGAGTAGTGTTATCGGTGCCTTGTGGCTTCCCCAGGAAACATCGAGCCAGGGTCACCGATAGATCGGCGATGGGCTCCCGATAGCCAGGCTCTGGGGGGAACATCGAGCTGGAATCGGCGATACATCTCCCATAGATCAGCGATAGGCTCCCGAGAGCGAATCCGCACGTTCTTGGGCGGGGTGGGCTATCAGGCCCCGACCAGCGCTGCATCGCCGATTCCAGCTCGACGAATCCCCTCCTTGAGCCCACCCCTCATGGACCTTGCCCCCTGGTTTTCGGATCATGACTCTGCTCTCCAGCGGCCTTTCGGGACGAGCCGAGCACCCCCGGCATGCTCTCGGCGAGGCGCAGCCGCTGGAGCGTATCCCGAGGCCGGAAAGCCGCCGAAAGCGACCGAACACCTCAGGCCGACAGTGCCCCGAATGTCCCCCCCTTCCGCGCGGCGCCGACCTGCGCCCCCCGATGTCTCGAGCGACGGGGCCTTCCTCGCTGCCCCCTCGAGGAGGGCCGCATAAGCACGGTGGAGGCCGCCGCGCTGCTGCTGGAGGAGCTGGGCCTGCCCCCGGGCGGCGCGCCCGCGCTGCTGCGCCGCGCGCTGGCGGAGCTCAACGGGGCGCTGGAGCCCACAGGGCGACGAACGTCGGGGATCAAGCCGTGGCATAATGGAGGATGACGATTAAAATGACCGGGGGTCGTGTTCACGCGGCGGCGCCCGGGATGACGATTAGAAAGAACCGGCCGCGGGCTGGACAACTTTTTTTAATTGTTTTCCTCCAGTCAGAGAATTAAGCAGAAATAGCAGAAAACTGTTGTTTTATCGTTCTCTCCCATTTGTTTTATTAATCGTCATCCTGCATTACAGTGGGGGCGCGCATCAAGAAACCATATGCTTTTCGTCAGGTTATCCTGGGCTTCTTCGCTCCTCGCGCTTCGCGGTGACTTCCCGCAGCCGTGGAAGGAGCTGCTGCGCTCAGGGTGCTCCGGGTTTCCCCTCAGGTGCACCTCGCGCACCGGTTCTTGGGGTTCGGTTTCTTGCGAGGGTTTCTTGCGGCCGCGACCGCACTGTACGGTCGAGGTTGATTCGTAGGTCGACCCTACCAAATCAAGGGTACCCTTGTGTCCTGTGCTTCGCGACCCCGTGCCTTCTGCAGTCCCATGGCAACGTGGCCCTCGGGAGGGCCTTGTGTCCTCTCGCGTGTCCTCTCCAATCAACCCCGACTGTACGGTCGGTAACGTTTGGAAGGCGTGTCGCGACGCCGGTTCTTGCACACCACGCTTCGGCGCGGCACGCTATCCACTGCCAGGCCCCCCAGGCGTCGACGTCACGAGCCTTGCACAGTCTTCTGCCCTGCGGAGCGGAGCGACCCGCTATTCGCTTGCAGGGCATAGCGTGTCGCCGAGGCCGCCGCGGCGACACGCTAAGCTAAAGTCCCCGACCGCAAACTTACCAGCCTGAAGTAGATCCCTATCCCTGTGATGGGCATCACCTTGTCTCGCTGCTGATCTTAGGGATTCCCTCAGTTTCTGGGCGCGCGTTCTTTACATTGTCATCATGACGTTGGGGAACTTTAGGGATAGGGACATGCTCGAGCCCGGTTAATAAACATAAATTTCCGGAGGTCCTCGCGGATTTCTCGGAACGGCGATGGAGCCCCCTGGCAGCGCATTTGGCGCTGCATCTGGCGCGCTCCGCGCGCCAAGGAAGGGTTTCCAGCGACGATCCAAGAAGTCCGCGCGGACGTCCAACAGCTTATGCTTATACAATGCTTCTCGTCTGGAACATGTCGAAGTCCTCCCGGCAAGGCTTCGGGTTGCGCGCGGGCAGCATCCCCCACGTAGTCCTGGCTGACGCCCCGCGTAGTCCTGGCCGGCCGCAACACCAGCCCCTCGAGTAGCCCGCGGCGGTCTCGACACCCTGGCGCGCGGCGGCGCCCCCGGGGGAGGCGCGGGTGGAGTGGTGAGACCGCCCCGGGCTACTCTTATGTCGGGCGTGTCCCCCTACAGGGGGATTTTCGACGAATAATAAAAAAATACCCCCAAAATACCCCAAAATGGTCAAACAAATGCAAAAAACATCGTCCCCAGACTATTTTTAAAAATTATTTGTATTTATTTTTAGGGGTATTTTCTTCATTTTCTGTCGAAACTCCCCCTGTAGGGGGACAGGCCCGACTTAAGGCTACTCGTGGGGCCCGTTGAGACCAGCTGGGACTACCCGGGGGGCCGGGTTGAGGCCAGCCCTGGGACTACCTGGGGAAGCAGTCTGCGCGCGCAACACCGCATCGCTCCTGAGGTCCTGCCGCTGCGCAGAGAGAAGCCACGGCGAGCTGCTTCTGTTCAGTTTGGGCCTCGGGGGGCCCTCGCCGGGCCCTGGGGCCGTCAAGCATCAGCTCGGGATGCCAAGCTTTTTCGGCCACATAGCTCTCGGCAGCAGGCGTCCAGATGCTGGCCACGAGGTGTGAAGGCGCCGCGTGGTGGTTCGGACAGCTCTCGTGCCGCCGGCGATGCGATGCGACGAGAAAACGGTCCCGGGGAGACAGACCTCTGGGGAGCCACGCTGCGCACGACGTCGGCTGTCTGGACCCCGAGGCGCGGTGCCACTGGTGCGCTCCGCGCGGTGCCATTGGTGCGCTCCGCGCGGGTTCGCGGCCTGAGAGTCCAAGCCGCGAGGCCGTGGATGCAAACGACAACAACGGTCACAACGATCACAACGATCACGACGATCACAACGACCACAACGACCGCAGCGACCACAGCGACCACAGCGATAACGAGGACCACGATAAGGACGATAACAACGACAACGATGGCAACGATGCTCGGGTCCACCCCTGGGGGGCGCGAGGGCAGCCGCGCTTCGCGCCTCGCGGCCTGGGCTGGAGGGCGCCCTTCTCCAGGGCGGCGGCGTGAGGGCGCGACGAGAAGCTCGTGTCGCGGATCGCGGGGCGAGCTGTGCGAAGCTCAGTCACCTGCCCAGACCCCCTCGAGCAGTGAACAAAAACATGACGGGAGGTGTTTCGCCATTTTCGGCCTCTAGGGGCCCTCACCGGGCCTCGCGACCGTCAAAGAAAGATTCAGGATGACAAACCGGTCCCGGGGAAAAGGTCGCAACCTCTGGGGGTCGGCGTCATGAACAAATCCTGACGTCTGGGGGTCTGGGTACGGCGATGAGACGACAGGGACCTTTTGGCCAGCGTGTCGCGCCGCCGGTTCCCGCCCGCCTCGGTTCGGCGCGGCAGGCTGACCATTGCCGGGTCCCCGAGCGTCAGCGGCCCGAGCCTTTCTCGGAGGGGGCTGGGACGAGGGTACATCTGTGCCGGGGCGTTCCGGAACCGCTCAAAGCATTCCGGAACGCTCCGAGAAGGCCGCTACGCCCGACACGTCCTCCAGGACCCGCCAGCTCTCAGCGATTCCCGATTCGTCCTCACCCGGATGTGTCTTCGTCCTGGCGTCAATTTACGTCCCCAGCTTTCTACGCCGCGGAGCGGAGCGACACGCCGTCAGCTCGCAGGGCACAGCGTGTTGCCGGGGCCGCCGCCGCGACACGCTAAAGGCGGAGGTGTCCGACCGTATAGGATCGGCGTCACCCCCACATTCTAATACTATGTGTGCGTCGCCCCCCCTGGGGCGATGGGCGCACCGAGGAATCTTGTAGTACATGCGTCGTGGCGAGCGCTTTCTGGCCGCACCGCTCGAGAAGCTGTTGCAATATTGGTATACTAGATGTTCGGGTCGGACGCGCGCCTCCAAGGAGGACATGCAGTATTCGTTGCAGTGCTGGCATGTCCCTGTGCGTCCCATACCCAGATCATGCGCGACCCAAAAATTTGGGTAGCGATCGGGAACGACTGGTCGCGACCGTTACGACCGAAATTTGGGTAGCGATCGGTCGCGGTCGGTCGCGCCCGAGAGCGAAATTTCGCGACCGACGGTAGCGATTTTTGCAGCACGATGCTGGCGCGCCACTCTCCTCGGCGCTTGCGTCGCAGCCCAGCGCTGTGAGGGTGGGGGAGGTGTGGGCGGCGGTGAAGATGATGCTGATAAACATCATGGTGGTGATGGTGATGGGGATCATGAGAGCAGAACCGAACATGATGATGATGAGGCGGGTAAGGCAGGGAAGTAGATAGAACAATCGTTGGTGGTCACCATCAGCATCATCAACATCATCGCCATCGTTATCGCCCTCCTTCTCGTTTTCCTCCTCCTCACCATATCATCACCATCATCATCATCATCATCATCATCAGCATCATCATCATCATCGTCATCGTCATCGTCATCGTCATCATCATCACACCCTTCGCTTCGTTACTTACACAGGACGATCAGTTCAAACGCACGCGGCATGCGTGCTAACGCTGGTGACAATACCTTGTGCCAGGCCATGCACGTCGGGCGCACCCTGTAATTATTCAGATAAAAACAATAACACGTAGCTGCGCGTCGATACGAGAGTACGAGCGGCGCAGATGATACAATACTATGTAGGCATCATCATGATCGCCGTCGTACTCGTCGCCATCATCATCACCATCATCCTTATCATCATCCTCATCAACATCATCGCAATCATCAACATCATCATCATCTGAAGCATCGCCAGCATCATCCGCATTAGCAGCATCATCAGCAGCATCATCACCATCATCATCATTAGCTGAATTACCAATGCCATCCCCATCATCTCCATCTTCAGCATCATCGCCCCCAGCGCCGCGAGGGAGAGGGATGGGGGGGGGGATAGGAAGAGCGGGGGGGGGGGATGGAGGGAGATAAAGGAGAGAGGGCGGGGCGGGGAAAATAATGATATGTGTGGAAGGAGACAAGGGCGATGAGAGGCGGAAGGCGAAGGGCCAGGGCGACTTTGCGCGCCTCTTCCGCGCCACTCCTTGGCGCTTGCGTCGCGCGCAGCCCTGCGCGGCGAGGGTGGGAGAGGTGTGAGCGGCGATGACGATGATGATGATTCTAAAGTTCATGGTGGTTATGGCGATGGTGATCATGGGAGCACAACCGAACATGATGATGAAACCGAGCGGGCAGGGTATTCGGTAGAACAACCGTTGGTAGGGTAGGGTAGGGACGGAGATAGGGTTGTATTTGAATAGGGATAGGGATAAACATATGGTAGGGTAGGGTAGGATACTATAGGGTAGGGTAGGAGTGGATAGGGCATGGGATGCGTGGAAAGGATCGGACAGGCCAGGGTAGGGATGGGATGGTCCTGGCGAGATAGGGTAGAGCGGAACAAGGGTAGATTGACAGGAGCGGGATCGGGAGCGAGGCTTGCAGGCGCGCCGTCGGCCACGCAACGCCGTGCAGCGGGACCAGCCAGCATTGCTTCCATCCATTGCTCCCAGGTGTCGGATGGGGGAGGGTGGAATGGGGGAAGAAGAGCAGGAAGAGGCGGAGGAGGAGGACGAGGACGAGGAGGGCGAGGAACGGCGGGGGAAAGAACGGAGGAGGACAAGGAGGGGGAGTAGGAGGCATCCCGCTTGCCGCTCCCCAGCCGCCCCCATCTCCCCACCACGCCCTCCTCCGCTTCCCCCGCCAATCTGCCCTCGCACTCTCGCCCTGCCTCGTCGTTTGTCTCGCAGGGGTGGGGGGTGGAGGAGGGGAAGGGGGGGAGG